ATCAACTCTTAGCAACCTGGTTCGCTGGTTGGGGGAGATAGCCTGTAAATGAGGGTGTGTACATGGGCCGAATAAAGGTTACGTACTCTTTGCATGCCACATACTCTGTAATCAATTAATAGGCTATACAGAAACGAAGGATTCTTCTCTTATGTTGGTGCAGCACTGTTTTGAGAATTAGCGTCACTTTCTTTAAACTCTCTATGGTGTCACCCCCTAAATGGTGTCACCCGGGTCGGAACGAACATCCCTTCCGCCCCGCTTACGACGCCACTGGGTGGATCCCCAAGCGAAACCGAAACAGAAGGTGTAAAACAAAACAAGTCTTACCTTCAATAACAACTAGGCTGGGAGCAAAGCTCTCTCTGGAGCCCACGAATGGGTTTCAAGGTATCCTGCATATATGAATACAACACTGGATGGTGAAGGCTGCTACCAGCTTATTGTAACTCTCCCCACATAGTAACTATCTTACTTCGCCGAAGATATTTCTACATCTCCCAAGATGGCTAGTTTAGAATAGACACATGTGCAACACTGGGGTATCTTTAATGAGGAAACGTTTCGCCACACAGTGTTTCACATGTGTCTAATTTATCAACTTGTCGGTTCTCTGAACCATTTATCTACATTAGCTAGTTTAATTACACTGGCCGGCAAAGGTTTCGGTTAACGTTTAACACGAGTTTCTATCAAGTTTTGGGGTACTGAATTCAAATAAATTTTGCACCAACACATGCAGTTCATGTGAAATAAATTCCCTCGGAGAACGATTTCACTAACACAGCCATCATGGAGAAGAGATAACAAGGAAACCTGACTCTCAGCTTCATGGTCGACTACTGCTGGACACTGGTAGAGTCATACTGCACACAAGTGAGAAGAAGAATTGCTGATATAAATACATTTGCATGTCTGCAGATTTACATTTGTTTTGTTACACATTTATTTAATGAATTTACATGAGTTTGCAATTTGAATTCCTAAAGTGAATTAAATTTTTATTTTTGTTGGCTACAGTTCTGTTTTATACAACATACTTTGAATATTGCAGGTTATATATTACAAATTTTGAAATCGTATTTTATGCTCTGTAAATTTATCGTGATGACGATGATGGATTTTTTTTACCGAAAAGTTGAAAGTATTTTATGACTTTAATGAATATCCTTAGAAAATGCAAGTCTTTCCCACCTGCTGTGATGCATACACATTTTTCACTGTGTTAACTTAGCACGAGAGAGGTGCTAGAATATCGGGGGTTCGATCTCCGGCTGATCGCAGCATTGTTCTTTGCTTAAAAGCACTAGTTCATGGATGCATTAAAAGTGAAGTGTTCATGAAGACTGGTATTCCAAATGGGAATAGACTGAAATTAGTTTTGTATCTTCTTCGATCACACATGTGCTCACACCAGGGGTGAGATGTCCAGTGGTACTGAGCACCTGATGTTTGATGTACTGATGACCAAGTGGACTAAGGCGTCTCGGAATTTTGCAATGCTTCTCGGGAGGCAAGCTATAATATCGGTGGTTCGATCGTTGTTCATGTTGCTAGCCGGGATTAGATCCTGCGTCATTACGTCAGCTCTGTGAAAACAGTCCAATGATGTTATATAAATATGTGTATATATATACATATATATATATATATATATATATACATATATATATATATATACATATATATATATATTATATATATATATATATATATATATATATATAATATTATATATATTTATAATATATTAATTAATTAATTAACACACTGGCCGATTCCCACCAAGGCAGGTGGCCCGAAAAGATATAACTTTCAACCATCATTCACTCCATCATTGTCTTGCTAGAAGGGTGCTTTACACTACAGTTTTTAAACTGCAACATTATAACACCCCTCCTTCAGAGTGCAGGCACTGTACTTCCCATCTCCAGGACTCAAGTGCGGCCTGCCGGTTTCCCTGAGCCCCTTCTTAAATGTTACTTTGCTCACACTCCAACAACACGTCAAGTATTAAAAACCATTTGTCTCCATTCACTATCAAATATGCTCACGCATGCCCGCTGGAAGTCCAAGCCCCTCGCACACAAAACCTCCTTTACACCCTCCCTCCAACCGTTCCTAGGCCGACCCCTACCCTGCCTTCCTTCTGCTACAGACTGATACACTCTTGAAGTCATTCTGTTTCGCTCCATTCTCACTACATGTCCGAACCACCTCAACAACCCTTCCTCAGCCCTCTGGACAACAGTTTTGGCAATCCCGCACCTCCTCCTAACTTCCAAACTATGAATTCTCTGCATCATATTCACACCACACATTGCTCTCAGACATGACATCTCCACTGCCTCCAGCCTTCTCCTCGCTGCAACATTCATCACCCATGCTTCACACCCATATAAGAGCGTTGGTAAAACTATACTCTCATACATTCCCCTCTTTGCCTCCAAGGACAAAGTTCTTTGTCTCCACAGACTCCTAAGTGCACCACTCACCCTTTTCCCCTCATCAATTCTATGATTCACCTGATCTTTCATAGACCCATTCACTGACACGTCCACTCCCAAATATCTGAATACATTCACCTCCTCCATACTCTCTCCCTCCAATCTGATATCCAATCTTTCATCACCTAATCTTTTTGTTATCCTCATAGCCTTACTCTTTCCTGTATTCACTTTTAATTTTCTTCTTTTGCACACCCTACCAAATTCATCCACCAATCTCTGCAACTTCTCTTCGGAATCTCCCAAGAGCACAGTGTCATCAGCAAAGAGCAACTGTGACAACTCCCACTTTATGTGTGATTCTTTATCTTTTAACTCCACGCTTCTTGCCAAGACCCTCGCATTTACTTCTCTTACAACCCCATCTATAAATATATTAAACAACCGCGGTGACATCACACATCCTTGTCTAAGGCCTACTTTTACTGAGAAATAATCTCCCTCTTTCCTACATACTCTAACTTGAGCCTCACTATCCTCGTAAAAACTCTTCACTGCTTTCAATAACCTACCTCCTATACAATACACCTGCAACATCTGCCACATTTCCCACCTATCCACCCTGTCATACTCCTTTTCCAAATCCACAAATGCCACAAAAACCTCTTTAGCCTTATCTAAATATTGTTCACTTATATGTTTCACTGTAAACACCTGGTCCACACACCCTCTACCTTTCCTAAAGCCTCCTTTTTCATCTGCTGTCATATTCTCCGTCTTACTCTTAATTCTCTCAATAATAACTCTATTATACACTTTACCAGGTATACTCAACAGACTTATCCCCCTATAATTTTTGCACTCTCTTTTGTCCCCTTTGCCTTTATACAAAGGAACTATGCATGCTCTCTGCCAATCCCTAGGTACCTTACCCTCTTCCATACATTTATTAAATAATAGCACCAATCACTACAAAACTATATCCCTACCTGCTTTTAACATTTCTTTATTTATCCCATCAATCCCAGCTGTTTTACCCCCTTTTATTTTACCTACTGCCTCATGAACTTCCCCCACACTCACAACTGTCTCTTCCTCTCTCCTACAAGATGTTATTCCTCCTTGCCCTATACACGAAATCACAGCTTCCCTATCTTCATCAACATTTAACAGTTACTCAAAATATTCCCTCTATCTTCCCAATACCTTTAACTCTCCATTTAATAACTCCTCTCCTCTCCTATTTTTAACTGACAAATCCATTTGTCTCTAGGCTTCCTTAACTTGTTAATCTCACTCAAAAGCTTTTTCTTATTTTCAACAAAATTTGTTGATAACATCTCACCCACTTTCTCATTTTCTCTCTTTTTACATTGCTTCATCACTCTCTTAACCTCTCTCTTTTTCTCCATATACTCTTCCCTCCTTGCATCACTTCTACTTTGTAAAAACTTCTCATATGCTAACTTTTTCTCCCTTACTACTCTCTTTACATCATTCCACAAATCGCTCCTCTTCCCTCCCTCACCCACTTTCCTGTAACCACAAACTTCTGCTGAACACTCTAACACTACATTTTTAAACCTACCCCATACCTCTTCGACCCCATTGCCTATGCTCTCATTAGCCCATCTATCCTCCAATAGTTGTTTATATCTTACCCTAACTGCCTCCTCTTTTAGTTTATAAACCTTCACCTCTCTCTTCCCTGATGCTTCTATTCTCCTTGTATCCCATCTACCTTTTACTCTCAGTGTAGCTACAACTAAAGAGTGATCTGATATATCTGTGGCCCCTCTATAAACATGTACATCCTGAAGTCTACTTAAGAGTCTTCTATCTACCAATACATAATCCAACAAACTACTGTTATTTCGCCCTACATCATATCTTGTATACTTATTTATCCTCTTTTTCTTAAAGTATGTATTACCTGTAACTAAACCCCTTTCTATACAAAGTTCAACCAAAGGGCTCCCATTATCATTTACACCTGGCACCCCAAACTTACCTACGACACCCTTGCATGCATGCATATATATATATATATATATATATATATATATATATATATAATATATATATATATATATATATATATATATATATATATATATATATATATATATATACGCAATAAGATCACGGTAAACAAGTGATATCACAATATGCAAAACAACCACTGTGATAGAATTGTGAACTATATGAACTTATAGTTCCTTGATAATGTTAGAAGTCACGAAATCGCTTGGAATTTCACTATCCTTTTACAGTAATATACATATATATATATATATATATACATATATATATATATAATATATATATATATATATATATATATATATATATATATTATATATATATATATATATATATATTATATATATGTGTGTGTGTGTGTGTGTGTGTGTGTGTGTGTGTGTGTGTGTGTGTGTGTGTGTGTGTGTGTGTGTGTGTGTGTGTGGTGTGTTGTGTGTATGTGTGTGTGTGTGTGTGTGTGTGAGCTCATATCCTTGTGTTAATTATCCTTGTGTTCATTATTGTCATCAGAGGAGATGGAGGAACCAACAGCCAGCAACGAGATGGAAATGGAAAACATGAATCAAGCAGGTTTATCAAAGGTGAGTGTGTTGACACGTGTTACTGAACGAGTTTCTCTTTCTCTAGGTGAGGTGTGTCAAGCCACAGAGAGCAAAACGTTGCCACAATAAAATGTCACACTAGCTTCACATGTGTTCCTTTACCTAACAATCAATAGTGAATTGCTGGGTCAGTGGCAATTAGTCATGTTGCTAGGCGAGTGCGTCATGTTGCTAGGCGAGTGCCTCATGTTGCTAGGCGAGTGCTTGCTGGGTAGGTTAACATGTGTGCTGCATGACGAGTGTGTTGTAAGTAACTGCTTGAGTGTATTGCTTGGTTAGTATGTTGCTGAGTGTGTTTCCAGGTTAGTGCTTTTCCTGGTGAACATGTTACTGTGTATGTTAGTGCGACTTTGTAAATGTTACTGTGTATGTTAGTGCGACTTTGTAAATGTTACTGTGTATGTTAGTGCGACTTTGTAAATGTTACTGTGTATGTTAGTGCGACTTTGTAAATGTTATAGCTGTATTGTTAGTGCGACTTTGTAAATGTTACTGTGTATGTTAGTGCGACTTTGTAAATGTTACTGTGTATGTTAGTGCGACTTTATAAATGGTCCAGGTCCGACCGAAATGTCGTCGTAAGCTCCTTTCTCCTATGTCCATTTTTTTTGTGTATTGGTCTTTGCGTGTGTCTCGGTAGTTATATTGCTAAGTAAGTGTGTTGTTGGTAGGTAAGACACATAGGCAACAGTTAGGCAACTTTATTTCCGAAACGTTTCGCCTACACAGTAGGCTTCTTCAGTCGAATACAGAAAGTAGGCAGGAACAGTAGAGATGTGAATACGAGTAATCAGTCCATCACCCTTGAAGTCGTAGAATTTGAGGTTGTCAGTTCCCTCAGCCTGGAGAAGTTCAGTTCCATAGTCAGGAACTATCTGAAGATCAAGGGACAGTGCTGAGACTTAAATACTGTCGGTAGGAGAGGTGCAGAGTAGTGAGAATGTAGCCACTGAGAGGTCAGGTCCCTCTCAGATCCAACAGTTCTCACTTGAAAGGGTTGTCCAAGGTGTTTTCTGTACCAAGAGGCCATGTGTTGCAGTGTCTGACAAGATGAACATCAAAATGGTATACAATACCGTCAGGTTGGTAGGTAAGACACATAGGCAACAGTTAGGCAACTTTATTCCGAAACGTTTCGCCTACACAGTAGGCTTCTTCAGTCGAATACAGAAAGTAGGCAGGAACAGTAGAGATGTGAAGACGATGTAATCAGTCCATCACCCTTGAAGTCGTAGAATTTGAGGTTGTCAGTCCCTCAGCCTGGAGAAGTTCAGTTCCAAGTATACCATCTTGTCAGACACTGCAACACATGGCCTCTTGGTACAGAAAACACCTTGGACAACCCTTTCAAGTGAGAACTGTTGGATCTGGAGAGGACCTGACCTCTCAGTGGCTACATTCTCACTACTACTACTACTCTGCACCTCTCCTTCCGACAGTATTTAAGTCTCCGCACTGTCCCCTTGTTCTTCAGATAGTTCCTGAACTATCTGAACTTCTCCAGACTTCAAGGGTGATGGACTGATTACATCGTCTTCACATATCTTCTGTTTCCTGCCTACTTTCTGTATTCTACTAAGAAACCTACTGTGTAGGCGAAACGTTTCGGAATAAAGTTGCCTAACTGTTGCCTATGTGTCTTACCTACCAACCTGTCGGTATTGTATAACCATTTTGATGTGGAAGTGTGTTGTTGAAGGAATGGTCGTCTAGCTGAGTGTGTTGCTAGGCTAGGCGAGTTCTTTGTGAATAAACTGCTCAGGTTACTGCTGGGTGGGTGTGTTGCTGTTTGAGTGGATTTTTGGTGAATGTTTTTTTTTTTTAATTGTGTTGCCATGTGAGTGTATTGCTAGGTGACAGCTGATAAGTGTTGTTTGGTGTGTTGCTAATTGAGGGACCGCTAAGGTGTTGAGTATGTTGAGCGTATTTTTGGGGTGTAGCTAGGCGAGTTTGCTGCTGTTTTATGTTGCAAAGCGTGTTGCTGGGTGAATGTGTTGCCAGGTTAGTGTGTTAGACGAGTGTGGGAGTAGGTGCTTTGTGGCTGGTGATGGCTCATGATCCAAGGAATTGGGGCAATCCTACCTGTCCTCTTATCAAACTTGATTACCCTCCCTTTCTCCATGCACTATTTGACACCTACACATGAGCACTTTGTCAAATATAATAATAACAACGAAGAACTACTGCTAACAGGGTGTCTGCAGGCACGGTATATCTGGTAAAATAGGTGGGACATGCATCTTTGACCATCCCAAAAAATGCCGCACTCACATGACAACAGGAGAATGCAACTTCCCTTCTTGTAACTTATTTCGGCCAGAAATGTGTCACTCATCAATCCATGAAAGAAAATGCTACAGTACATACTGCCAGGCACATCATCTTAATGGGACTGGAAGACACAGAGCAGCCAGACTATGGGAAACAAAAGAGAGGAGCCACAACCTCTTCAGTGACAGAGGTTTTTAGGGCCAGGAGGGATAAAAGACTTGCAAGAAATGACAATAATCCTACACCAACTGAAAACACTTCTGGAGCAGAGGCACGGACATTGGCCTCTACCCCAGAACAACAGACATTAGAGCCAGCAAATAAAACCCCCTAAATTCCACCAATACACATTGTCTTTGTAAACATACAGGTTTAAAGCCGTCAAAAAAAAAAAATCCTTACATCAAGGGACTGCTCATGGACTCAAATGCAATGTTTGCAGCATTCACAGAGACCCACATAAAGGATCATTATGACAACGAAATATGGATCCCAGGTTATAACCTATTCCGATGCAACAGACTAAAGAGGCAACAAGGTGAGGTTCGGCCTGTATGTCACAGAGTCGCTCATTTGCACAGAACTACTAAACACCTCAAATGATGTAGTTGAAGTTTTGGCGGTAAAGACTGAAAACCAAAACCTTGCCATTGTGGTAGTATACAAGCCTCCAGATGAAACTTCCCAGCAATTCCAGGAGAAATCTTGAGAAAATTGACCACTGTGTGGAAAATCTCCCAACTCCTGCCCCAAACATCTTACTACTAGGAGATTTCATCCTGAGACACCTAAAATGGAGGGGTATAGCAAACAATGTTTTAGCAGAGATCACCCCGGGAGGCAGCTCAGATGAAAATTCACACACACACTAACTATCAAATCTCTGCACCAAATTCACCTTAAACCAGCAAATTCTAGAGCCTACAAGACTGGAAAATATGCTGGACCTCATCTTCGCTAACATTGATGATCTGATACGTAATATAACTGTATCAAAGACAATACACTCAGATCACAACATAATAGAGGTACAGACATGTATGCACAGGGCTCCGGACCAGCAAAATGTGAGCAGTCGTGAAGGTCTCTTCACGAAATTCGATTTCAAAAACAAAAACATACAATGGGATCAAATAACCCATGTCCTAAATGAAACAAGCTGGGAAGATATCCTAAACAACACGGATCCGAACATTTGCCTTAAAAAAATGAATTCTGTGGTTCTTGAGGTCTGCTCAAGATACATTCCATTAAGAAAAATAAAGAGAAGTTGTAAACTAGAAAGAGAGAAACATTCCCTATACAGACGAAGGCGAAGAGTCACAGAGCTGCTGAGTGGGGTCAATATATCTGAAATACGAAGAGAGGCGCTAGTCAGTGAAATTGCAAATATCGAACTTAAGCTGAAGGAATCTAATAGGAGACAAGAATCACAGGAAGAAATAAAAGCCATAAAGGAAATTGATGAAAGCCCAAAATACTTCTTCTCTTATGCCAAATCTAAAGAAAAAATAACATCCAGTATTGGGCCCCTGCTTAGGAGGGATGGGACATACACAGATGATAGCCAAGAAATGAGTGAGATACTAAAGTCCCAATATGACTCAGTGTTCAGCAAACCACTACCCACTCTAAGGGTCGACAATCCAAATGAATTCTTTATGAACGAAACCCAAAATTTGGTCATCCCAAAAGTCTCGGATATTATTCTAATTCCACAAGACTTTCAAGAGGCAATTAATGACATGCCCATGCACTCTGCCCCAGGCCCAGACTCATGGAACTGTGTTCATCAAGAACTGCAAGAAGCCCGTATCGCGTGCCTTCAACATTTTATGGAGAGGGAGCATGGACACAGGGGTCATCCCACACACACTAAAAACAACAGACATAGCCCCATTCCACAAAGGTGGCAGTAAAGAAATTGCAAAGAACTACAGATCGATAGCACTAACATCCCATATCATAAAAATCTTTGAGAGGGTTCTCAGAAGCAAGATAGCCAACCACCTAGATACCCATGAATTATACAACCCAGGGCAACACGGGTTTAGATAAGGTCGCTCCTGCCTGTCCCAGGTACCCACTATGACAAGGTCCTCGATGCTGTAGAGGATAAACAAAATACAGATGTAGTATACACGGACTTTGCAAAAGCTTTCGACAAGTGTGACCATGGTGTAATAGCACACAAAATGCGGGATAAAGGAATAACGGGAAAAGTTGGTAGATGGATCTATAACTTCCTGACAAATAGAACACAAAGAGTAATAGTAAACAGAGTAAAGTCCCAGGCAGCCATGGTAAAAAGTTCTGTTTCACAAGGCACAGTACTCGCTCCCATTCTATTCCTCATTCTGATTTCTAACATAGACAGATATGTAAGCCATAGCTCCATGTCTTCCTATGCAGATGATACCCGGATTGCCATGGCAGTGACTTCTGTCGAAGACACAGCGAGACTCCAAGCGGACATGAACCAAATCTTCGTCTGGGCCACTCAAAACAGTATGAAGTTCAACGAGGAGAAATTTCATCTACTCAGATATGGGAAACTTGAAGAAATTAAAAATGTGTCAGGGTATACAACAAATTCTAACCATACAATAGAGCGGAAAAGTAATGTGAAGGACCTGGGAGTGATAATGTCAGAGGTTCTCGCCTTCAAAGACCACAACAATGTATCTACCTCATCCGCTAAGAAAATGATAGGATGGATAATGAGAACCTTCAAAACTAGGGACGCCAAGCCCATGATTAGTCTCTTCAAATCGCTTGTGCTCTCTAGGCTGGAATACTGCTGTACACTAACGTTCCCCGTCAAGGCTGGCGACATTGCAGACCTGGAGAGTGTACAAATAACTTTCACGGCACTCATAGTGCGATAAGGCACCTAAATACTGGGAACGGTTGAAGGTCCTTGATCTGTATTCCCTGGAACGCAGACGGAAGAGATACATGATAATATACACATGGAAGGTCCTTGAAGGATTGGTACCAAACCTGCACAAGAAAATCACTCCATATGAAAGCAAAAGACTCGGCAGGAGATGCAACATTCCCCCGATGAAAAGCAGGGGCGTCACGAGTACACTGAGAGACAACACAATAAGTGTCCGGGGCCCAAGACTGTTCAATTGCCTCCAGCATACATAAGGGGGAGTACCAATAGACCCCTGACTGTCTTCAAGAAGGTACTGGACAGGCACCTAAGTCAGTACCTGACCAACCGGGTTGTGGTTCGTACGTCAGCTTGAGTGGGGCCAGCAGTAACAGGCTGGTTGATCATTCCCTGATCCACCATGAGACCTGGTCTCAGACCGGGCAACGGGGGCGTTGACCCCCGAAACCCTCTCCAGGTAAACTCCAGGTAAACAGCACTAACATAATAAAAATGAAAATAATGACTCTAAAAATAAAAAAAATAAAAAATTAAAGCTACAATGATAATAGATATTATAAGAAACATTGTAGGAAGCTCTGAGGAATATGGGAGACCAAGTGGCGGAGTATATGGAGATCACTGGAGGTTGCTGTGACAAGTGTTGGTGACTGAGGAGGTACAGCAGACGTGATGCACCACCTGGGGAGAGTACAAAGACGTGATGCACCACATGGGGAGGTACAGCAGACTGATGCACCACTGGGGAGGTACAGAGACGTGATGCCCACCTGGGGAGGTACAGCAGACGTGATGCACCACCTGGGGAGGTACAGCAACGTGATGCACCACCTGTTGCTCTCTCTTTATTATCCATGTTATTGTTGGTATTATTTCCATCATTTGGTCTTCAGTGGGACAGGTAAGGATGCTGTTGTTCAGGTCATCTGAGGTGTGATGTCAGCTCACTTCCGGTAAGACAGCGACTGAGAGAACGTCTTCTCTCTCTGACTTGCAGACACGACCATGTGTTTACGAACATATATTATTATTACTAGTATTGTTGTTATTAATGCCAATATTTATTATTACTGTTATTATTTACTACTACTATGACTACTACTATTACTACTATTTTTATTACTTATTACTATTGTTGTTATTATTTAAACAACAAAAAGGGAAGGGGCTGTTTAACTTGGGTTAAACTACAAAAATAATTTAAGACCATAACGCTTCCCCCTCCCCCCCAAAAATAATAATCAACGTGTCTTAAACATGAACTTTGTGTTCAGGGTCGTGTGGTGACACTGCTTGCGAGGTCGAGGTACTACCAAGAAATATAACAAGAAGTGAACTATCCCAGCTACAGCAACAAGGCCTTCTCTCCCAGCACACCTCTCCGTGAGTCTATGTCAAAGTCTCCTTGTACCGGAGCTCATTTGCTGGAATACGACACAGTAATGCTGTCAATGGCGTTTTATTGATGAGGTCAGTGGCAGACCTACATTTCTGTGGCCCTGAAGCTTGAATTGTTAATGGGGGGCCCCATCGCAAACCCCTCATACAGTAGACCTAAAAAAATTAAGTAATGTGGACTACAGTCGAAGTTGGGGCCCCTTCGGGATTAAGGCCCTGGATGAGGTCACCTGGTGGGCGAAACGTCTTCTCAGTAAAACGCCATAACCGCATGTCTTGATAACATGTTGATATGCTATACCACAGATATTAATGAAGTGCCTCTGTCTGTGTCTGTCTGTCTGTCGTCTGTCTGTCCTTCCTGTCTCTGTCTTCTGTGTCTTGTCTCTCTTCCTTCTTCTCTACTCTCTTCCTCATCGTCTCTCTCTTCTTCTCCTCCTCTCTCTCTCTCTTATTGCTCAACTTGCTGCCTGTTTGTATCTAAGCTCTCTGTGTCTGACTATTCTGTCTCAATCACTTATGTATCTAAACTCCGCCTCTCGTCTGACAATAATTCTATATTTCCGCGACATGCTGTCAGCTATGTTACATAGCTTCTGGTACTTACTTAATTATCGGTGCTTCTTTAACTTGGTTCTCACTTAATTATTCTAAACTTACTAATTTCCACTAATCAAGTTTCAGGTAAGTGTCATGCTATGGTTACCCTTGTGGCCTCATATGTAATTAATAATGGTAAATGTTAGTGGTTGGTCGCCTTAGTTACCAGTGTTGCTCACTACTGTTAGCGTATGTGTTGCTGACACTGTTAGTGTCATGTGTTGCTGACTACTGTTAGCGTTGTGTGTTGCTGACCACTGTTAGCGCCATGTGTTGCTGACTACTGCTAGTGCATGTGTTGCTGACTACTGTTAGTGCCATGTGTTGCTGACTACTGTTAGCGTTGTGTTGCTGACTACTGTTAGGCCATGTGTTGCTGACTACTGTTAGTGTCATGTGTTGCTGACTACTGTTAGCGTTGTGTGTTGCTGACTACTGTTAGCGCCATGTGTTGCGGACTACTGTTAGCGTATGTGATGCTGACTACTGTTAGCGTTATGCGTGTTGACTACTGTTAGCGTCATGCGTTACTGACCACTGTTAGTGTCATGTTTGCTGACCACTGTTAGTGTCATGTGTTGCTGACCACTGTTAGTGTCATGTGTTGCTGACCACTGTTTAGTGTCATGTGTTGCTGACCATTGTTAGTGTCATGTGTTGCTGACTACTGTTAGCGTGTGTGTTGCTGACTACTGTTAGCGTTATGTGTTGCGACTACTGTTAGTGTCATGTATTGCGACAGCTGTTAGTGCCATGTGTTGCTGACCACTGTTTATGTCATGTGTTGCTGACCACTGTTAGTGTGCCATGTGTTGCTGACCATGTTAGTGTCATGTGTTGCTGACTACGTTAGCGTTGTGTGTTGCTGACACTGTTAGCGTTATGTGTTGCTGACTACTGTTAGTGTCATGTATTGCTGACAGCTGTTAGTGCCATGTGTTGCTGACCACTGTTAGTGTCATGTGTTGCTGACCACTGTTAGTGCATGTGTTGCTGACCATTGTTAGTGTCATGTGTTGCTGACTACTGTTAGCGTCCATGTGTTGCTGACCACCTGTTAGTGCCATGTGTTGCTGACCACTGTTTGTGTCATGTGTTGCTGACCATGTTAGTGTCATGTGTTGCTGACCACTGTAGTGCCATGTGTTGCTGACCACTGTTAGTGCCATGTGTTGCTGACCACCTGTTAGTGCCATGTGTTGCTGACCCGTTTGTGTCATGTGTGCTGACCATTGTTAGTGTCATGTGTTGCTGACCACCGTTAGTGTCATGTGTTGCTGACACGTTAGTGCCATGTGTTGCTGACCACTGTTAGTGCCATGTGTTGCTGACCACTGTTAGTGTCATGTGTTGCTGACCATTGTTAGTGTCATGTGTTGCTGACCACCGTTAGTGTCATGTGTTGCTGACCACTGTTAGTGTCATGTGGAAGGTCTAACTATGTACTGGAATTATGTTGCATGTTTAGCTCTTGCTTATTTTAATATCTTAGTATCAGTGTGGTCATCCATTTTATTTATCCTCAGTCTTATTCACGTCCTTCTCTAGTTCTTTTCCATAGTTTTATCCACGTTTTTCCCCATGTTTTATACAAACTGATATCCATCTCTCTCTTTATGTTGTCCTCATTGACATCTATATCACCTTTGTTTTTATCTGTTTGGGATTTCCATCCTTTTTCGCACGTTTATGCTTTTATGTGTATTTTATGCACTTCGTTATATGTAATAGTGTAATATTTGCTGTCGTCTTTCTCAGGACCGTTGTTTATGTTATTTGAGTTGTTAAACATGTTATCGACGTTTCTATAGTTTTATACTGACTCAAACTTTTCAATAAGAAACATCAGGTTTGAAATCAAACTGAAGAGGAATTCTCTGGTTATCTCAAAGGCAAAAATATCTTAACCCACACCAATATGTTTACCAGGGTAGAGTGGTGAAAATAATTACAACTGGAGCTCGGAAATTGTCATATGGAAATAATGTCAAATATGCCTTTTTTGTCTGTCAAAAAAGCAGTTGGGACCATCACAGGCTAATAATAAATATTTTCCTAAGCAAAAATTTATCATCATCTAAAGTTTAAGTAGGTATGTAAGTAATTAAGTGAGACTTAAGTGTACATTATATAGATTTAACCTAAGGTAACCCGTTAAAATCAAACTGATTTTCTTTTTTTACCAGAATCGGCTCAAGTTATTTCAGGAAAATCTATTTGATTAAAATTTAGTATATTAAAACCTCTCACAACCAGAAAATATGGTAAAACTTACACATCAGGAAAACTCAACAAACCTAAAAGTTTAAATAAAGCAGATTAGAAGAATTAATATGCAGTTATTCCACAGAGTCCAAAAAAAACTGCACCTAAACGACCTAAGCCAAAAAGTTTTTCACGTATTTCGTAAGACGAATCAGCCATTAAGTATTGATACTGTTCACATTGTTGTGTTTTATTCAATGGGAAAAGTGCTAACCTCCCAGGGGTTTCACACAGAAACCTTTGCGATGTGATGCAAAAAAAAAGGGTTATGTCCGTTTTTGGGGGAATCAAAAAGCTTCTCACAAAAATCATGGCAAAAAAAGTAATAATGTTTTTTTAAAAATAAAATCCTTTTCGAGATTAAAAGCCCCCAAAATTTTTGTTTTTTATGTACCCAGTTGTTTAAAAAAACCCTACGTAAGATGGGAACCCCTTAATTCATTTTAAAACCATTGTGTAAATAACAAGAGACGGGACAGACACAGAGAAAGGGGGAAATCTCCCCTCTTCAATATATTTTTTTGAGTGTTTTTCTTTCCGGAAAGGGAAGCAACTCACAAAAACCCGGTTTAAAAACTCAAAAAACCCAAAACCACGGGGGGGGGTTTGCCCCGAGGGTAAGAGAGTTCAAAACTCCAAAACCGTCGCGTTACCCCACTGGACCAGCGGGTCCAGTGGCAAACGCGACGGTCGGGATTTTTGGGAGACTCGGGACCGCGGGTTCAAACCCCCCCTTTTGGTAGGGTTTTTGTTTGCCCCGGGTTTCATTACGATTTGTGAGTCATTTTTAATAAAACTAATTTTACCAATTTGGGCCCACCGGGGCAGCAGCAAAAGTTTTGTTTTTTCCCGACCCAATTTACCTAATTAAAACCCCCCCCTCTTTAACTTTCAGTTGTACTAATCATGTTAATATTTGCAAAATGTAATTAATCGTTTATTAAAATTTTCCCCTTATTTTAAAAAAATGATAAATTTTTAAATTTAATTTTTTTTTCCCAGGTAATCGCCATTGGTTCCTGATTATAAGTAAAAATGAATTTATTTCAGTAAACATACCTTAAAGTACTTACCCCTACCCTTGCGGTATATCGTGTTTTGCGTTATCCAAACCCTTTGTTGATATTTTGAGTGTTGGGTTTCCTACCCCCTTGTTTTTTTATCTGAGTTTTGGGTTATCCTCCCCTTTTGATAAAACTAAAGGTTTTGGGGGTTATGCTACCCTTTTTGGGTAATCTGAGTTTTGGGGGTTAAACCTCCCCTTGTGTCGGCTAAAGGCCCAAGCCTACAACTGGTTAAGCTCCCTACCCTTAACGATGTAGAAGGTGGTAGACACAATTTTGGGAAAAGGGGAAAATTTTCCCAAACCTAGAAAATTTTTTGATACCCCCGGAGAATGAAATTTTTTGTCATTTTACTTTCCCTGTGTTTTACTTCTTTTATTACGTATCCCCCCTACGGGGGAAGCTTCTCTTAATTTATTCTTTAATAGTTTCTTTTTAAAATTTTTTTTCAAAAAATCCAACAGGGAGATTAGTAATTTTAAAATCCCGTTTGGGATGAAAAAATAAACAAAGGGCATTTATATTGCGGTATATAGGTAGCATTATATTACATTTGGGGGGTATTTTTTCGAAGCCACCGTAGAAAAATTTAAATTCCCTTTGTCACACTGTTAAGGGCCAAATTTGGGACCGAAAAGGGTCGTCAAAATTTTTTGCATTCCTCCTATGAGGGGTTATTTTGTCAAAAACTCAAAAAGGACCCAGCCCAGGGACTTTAAAATTTTATCAAGGTTTACAAGCGAAATCTTTAAAAGGGTTCCACATTTTTTACGGGGGTCTGGTCATGAATCGGGCCCAGCGGGGGTTACCCCTAAAACCCCAAGTCCATTTAAAACTCCAGGGTATGGTCTTTTTGGGGGCAGTTTTGGGGAACTGGCAGTACGGGTTCCTACCTGGAGGGGAACCCTAGGGGGGGGTTTTGGGGGGTCAACGCCCCCTCGGCTTGTCTGTGCCCGGCCCCTTCTGGTCGCAGCATCCTGGAATGGGCAAAAACCCTTTTAAAAATTCTTAAAAAACGTCCCCCCGAAATTCAACGGGGGACTTGGAGTAAAAGGGGG